CAAATAGTAATTTCTGTCGTCATAGCCATTGAGTTCTTTGATTTGTTTCACTTCATAATTATAAAGTTGTTTAACTAATACTTTCACAAATTCTATGTTATTAGGTGGACGATTCATTGCACTTAAAATGTTTGTTTGATTTTTGTAATATTCACAAAATATTCAAGTATTTATACATTAAATTTATATGAAATAATTCAGACAAATGAGAATTTTGTTATATTTTTACTGAATTTAACTTTAATCTAATGATTGTACTATTTGTTATAATCAATATATTATGCAATTATTAAAAAATATATTGCAATAATTTTCTAAATAATGTGACTTAGCAAATTTAGCAACTAAGACTTTAATAATTTTTATATTAAACACAAATTTAATGAATATTTGATAAATTGTTTAGATATCCACTTCAAATGACTGATAAACATAACAATTTGATAAATTTTTAAATGATAACAAAATGTAGGAACTTGCTGTACTTGATATCCTTGAGGTCTAAATTAAATAAAGTAAATACAATATTAAAATGAATTTATTAAAACTCATTTATAATAAAGTTAAAATGCTTTGTATTTGAAATACATGTTTTAAATGAAATCTGATTTAATAAAAAAAACTCCTAAATGTGTTGAGTTCACATGTTATCGCTATTGATCTTTGAACTAATCAATAGCATAATATAATACACGTTCAATAGATAGCAATCTAATACCGTATAAAATAAGTGAAAATTATATAACAAAACTTATAGCAAATAAAACTCAAACACGATGTATTCACGTCCGCCCAATAACATAGAGTTTGTCAAACAGTTAGTCAAAAGACTTTATAATTATGAAGTGAAACAAATTAAAGAACTCAATGGCGCTGACGATAGGAACTACTATTTGGTTACAAATTATGAAAAAGAGTTTGTCCTCAAGATTACAAACACTGTAGAGGGAAGTGTGCCCGGACTTTTAGGTTAGGTGTAAAATTTTATTTGTATTAATCTGTTATCAATATATTGAAGTAACTTTTAATTTATGTTAGATGCTGTCAATTCATTTATACTACTCTTACACAACAATGGGTTTAGAGTTAGTGTCCCTCAAGTGAACGCAAATGGAAAATACTTATCGTATGAAGAGATCCCATCACCAGATGGACAGTCAGTACACGAATCACCTTTGAATACGGCATATGGGGTCAGGCTATTGGAGTTTATAAGTGGGAAGCTGTTAAGGGATGTGCCCTTTACTCCTCAATTACTCACAGAATGTGGTCAAGTGTTGGCTCACATGACGATCGCTATTCAGGTCTCATATAATTTACACAAAGTTTTAGTAAACAATTGAATCAAAAATATTTAAAAATAATATAACATTTTATTCAGACATTTGAGAGCCAAGTGATAAGTAAACGCCGACCGGATTGGTCTCTTCTAAACGTGTTAGCCGTCAGACAATATATAGACGCCGTTCACAATCAAGAGGACAGGGATGTAGTGTCGGCCACTTTAGACGAGTTTGAGCGCACAGTTATGCCAATTCTGGATGAGTTGGAAACAAACTTAATTCACGGCGATTTCAATGAGATGAATATTATTGTCCACAACAATCCTAATGAACATCCAGACAATGAATATCACGTGAAGGGAGTCATAGACTTCGGTGATATTCACTACGCGCCCAGAGTTTTCGATTTAGCCATATATTTGTGTTATTCAATGCTATTCTTCACTGCCGGTCCACCCATACTGGCGCCGGCGTTTGGACTCAAGGGTTACATGAAGTCCATTAAACTACACGAAAACGAATTAAATGTGTTATGCGTTAGTATTTGTCAAACTTTAAATTAGTTTTAATGCACACAATTAACTTCTAATTATGATTTAGTACCGGAGAAATAGTCTTTCAGATGATAATTTGAAAACCAGCCCTAATTATAATCCAGGTCATTCACTAAGAGATTAGCAATAAACTTATAAAATTATTAATATGTGAAGTCCATTAAATTAATCATATAGTAAAATAAAAAGTTTATTAATTAAACAAGATTATTCTTAAACATATTCATATTAAACTTTTGAAAAACATTAATATAATAAAGAAAGACTTTAAACACTACTAATTTATCTATTTTGTAAATTAATTTTTATTTTACTATATGATTATTCTAATATATTTTACACATTCATATTAACATAAGTTTATTGTAAATCTCTTAGTGAATGTCCTTGATTATATTTAGGGCAGGTTTTCAAATTATCATCTGAAAGACTATTTCTCCGGTACTAAATTATGATCTATTTGAATAGACTTGTATCAAGGCCAGATTCTGTCAGTCGCTGGTATTGGGCGCCCATTCATACCGTTTGGATCCGACAAATGTTTACGTGTTGTCGTCGGCCAAGAATGGGTGGCCAGCCCTC